GGGCTTGGCAGGAGATGGGGCAAGTGGGGGAGGGGTGCTCTTAGAAGTCGAGGAGGACGAAGAGGAGGATTTGGAGGAAGAGGACGAGGAGGAAGGCTTGGAGGAAGAGGACGAGGAGGAAGGCTTGGAGGAAGACGAGGAAGAGGAGGAGGAGGGCTTGGAGGAAGACGAGGAGGGCTTGGAGGACGAGGAGCTGGGAGAAGAAGAAGAAGAGGAGGATTTAGATGAACTGGATGGAGGAGGGGACTTAGAATTTGACTTGCTGGTGGTGCTGCTAGTCCCACTCTTGTCCTGCTGCGATATCTCATTTCCATCCCCTGCTCCTCCACCGTTCCTCAGCTCATTGAACAGCAAATCGGCCCAGATATCCGGCAGCCCTGGCTCGCACCAGTGCGAGCAATCGTCCCCGTTCCCGCTCTTCCCATCCCACGGCCCCACATGCGCGTCTGGTCTCAGCAGCGCCATCCGGAAAATATCCAACATGCGCACAGCCGGGTACGGCTTTAAAGCCGCCTTTTGCGCCGTGAGATACGGAGCCTCCTTGGACTTCCCCTTAGCATAGTCCCCTTCAGACGGAGTGAAAGGCGCGGTGGCTTTAGCACACCCCATGCCCTTGGTCTTGAACGCGGAGCTGTAGTGTCTGGGAGAGTAGGTGAGGTAGAACACCTGGCCCTTGTAGTTGCTTTTCGTGATGTAACTGGCGACTGTGATGAGGGAGAGCCGGGCCGCCTCGAATTGGTCTGCTTGCACGGGCTGGCCCTTCTGGTACAGCAGGCGTTTGCTGGCGGGAGCCTGTGGGGGGGGAAGGGCAGGGTCAGGGGAGATGGAGGAAAAGGAGAGGGAGAGGGGCTTGAGAGATCGGTGGAACAGGAGACAAGGGTGGAGCGAGCAGTACACAACTAGAGGCATAAGGTGGGATACGGTGCAGCGAGCGAGCAGTGGGAGCAGTGGGAGCAGCGCAAGCAGTGTGGCGCTCACATTGTCGAACCAGTGGCCGTGGGCGAACACGAGCACGTCCGCTGTCTTGACCAGAGACGCCCACAGGGGAGACGGCTTGTCCAGGTTGATGGTCCACGTGGCACTCGAACTGTCGGACGTGCCCTGATGGTCATAACGATAGCAATGACCGCGATATGCACAGACAGAGTGGTGATGCAAGGCAAACTAAGAATTCCGTCCCAGTGCTTCACAAAACCTCTTTATAAGCCGCTTTAAACGGTAATGATCTGAAAAAATGTACAAGAAATCAGTATACTAGGCAGGCTACAGCGAGTCACACACATACCTGCGGCTTGGAGTCAACTAGAAAGGGGTCCTGAATCCGAATGAACTTAGAGCCGTACTTGGGTACCTCGAACACCTCATAATCGCCTGTCACTCCTGGGAAGGTCCCCTCCCAGTCCTGCCGGAGAGAGGCGCGCACGGGAGGTGAAGACGGGTTGAGGGAGAAGCTATGGAAAAAAGAGGAGGAGGGAGGTGGAGAGTGGAGAACTCTGTACGCTATGATCGTGTATACTTTGACATTATGGAATGCGAGACGTGAGCCTCTGCTGCGGAGTAAAAGAAAACCCTAAGACCAGAGTCAAAAGCGAGCTCGTCAAGAAACCAGATGACGCGCGGGCGAGCGAGCAAGCGAGCGGGAACCGCGCGCACGCACCGGAGCTGGAGTGGTGGCGCTGACGAGGCATCGGATGGCTTCGAAGAGGTTGTTGATCATCGAGTCGCCCGCCATCGCCACCACCTTGCCGCGCAGCAGCGACAGAAACGACGCCGCGTCGAACCTACGCGGCGGACAGGCGCGAACAGTTACGAACGGGGAAGGGATGGGCGAGGGAGTGTGAGTCACTCCACCAGAATACCAGTCGGTCGGGCATTCGATGCACATCAAAGTCTCACATCACACGCCACACAGTCTTGATCGCGATGCGAACCCGTACCTGGAGAGCGAGCATTCCGGCTGTCCCGGCACCCATTTGTAGTTGCGGTAGTCGAAGCTGGTCTGCCCGTTCTTCTCGCAGTTGCGCGTCTTCCCCGCGTACGCGCACGACTTCCCCGTGTACTGCGCCGCATAGCCCTCCGCGCGCACCCACCTGCGGCGGAGACGCGAACGGCGAGAATGAGAGAGAGAGAAAGCGGCGCGGATATGATTGAAGAGAAGCGGGGGAGGTTGAGATGAACGTATAGCTGTGCGGAATGAGGAGCAATCCACGTTGAAAGCAGGGCTTGGACGGGCTGATGCATCAACGAAACGACTGTTGAGTCGACTCAGAAGTCATATCGACGAGACTCACGTTCCATTGGCGTAGTCGCAGACTGGCCCTGCGATTACTGCGACAGGCGTGGCGAAAAGCACGGAGATCAGAACCGCGGCGAGTGCGACGAGCGGCGGCGTGAAGCTTGCTTGCGACTCGAAGACGGCCCGGCGACGGGCCATCTTAGGTTTGCTTTGCCGGGACTTCTGTCGGCTAGCTCGCTGCCTTGCGCGTCGAGAGAGCTGCCTGTGTTTCGCGAAGGCTGGAGAGGTCTTTGATGCTGTCACACAGCAAGGGAACGATGTCGCGCGATTGTGTAGTGAAAAAAGCTGACTACAAGGTTAGCGTTCTACGTTTAAAAAGGACGAGATTAGTAAGCGAGGGTGTTTATTCCAGCGACTTGAAGATTACAGTCAATGGTCGCACAGTCTTTTGTACTCTCCTACCTAGCCTCTCTACAAGAAGGACGCAAGTGGGCTCGCTAGTTTGCCTAAAGGGTCGGCCAATGTCGGTCGGTGCTCAGCAAAGTTGCTAGTGTGCGACAATGCTTTGCGACAGGATGTCTTGCGGTCCACTAGCTTGCCGTTCCCAGAACGGCCGAAGCGCAACCCTTGTGAGATGACTGGCGCGCGCCGACCCTCCGTTAGATTATGAATGAGTAGGCCAGTCGGATCGGACGGAGAGTGCTCATTACAAACAGAAGTGGGGTCATTACCAACGGAGAGTGCTCATTGCTGTAGTGAACTAGAACTCCCCCCCTCACTGCCTTGCTTGCTGCCAAGAGGATAAGGTAGGGGAGGAATGAATGGCGGCGGTAGTACGTGCAGCGATTGGGGTGGACATGGGGGAGTGAGTGAGTGAATGGGTCGGAGCGCGATACTCTTGAATGTCAGACGAATTTGGGATGGACGGCTAGGGTCTAGTCCAGCGCAGCGATGCGGGTCTCCACGAATTGGAATTGGAAAATGATCAATGAAACGTTTTGGCGCGATGGTGGGCACAAGAGCCGTTCGTCTTCGCGATTGAAATCAAATGCTCGTTACAGGATGAACGCGTACTCACTAGGTAGCAACTCCTCCAAAATTCACTGAAGGTAGGAGATCAGCTAACTCAGCTGTTCCATAATGATATAAAACTGCAAAAATACAAGTTGTGGACAATGGAAAACCAACCTGTTTATCTGTAAGTACTGCCACTACCTTTGATACAACATGTGATACCTCAACGAGCTTAGGATTCCCCAACCCCTTCTAGTCAGGCAGTTGACCAATGCATCATGAGATCACCTCGCTCTACAGAGGCTGCTTCTTTCTTTCCGCAAACCCTACAGATGTTGTGATGTCTAACCCCCTTCACTGTCTCCTCTTTCCAACCAGTAGCCTCCTACCCTACATCGCCTGCCGCGCACAGCACAGCCCCTGTTCAGGCGCCTGCCATTATCCTTCACAAGCACCAAGATTACAAACCGCTGGAGGGATGACGTGTGATTTGGAGCGACTGGTGTCACACGTGCACACGTGCACCACACGAATCGCACTCCACCGGCTGGTGCAGCCTCCTCCAGTTGCACAACCAGAAAACCCAACGGTCATCCCCAATCGCCTGGTCTCACACACGATGAACTGCAAATAGTTTCTAACCACTTCGTTCCCTGAACACCCTGGCTATCGGTTTCCCGTCTCTCCGCTCTCGCCTGCTGCTCCTGGGCTGTGTGCGGAGCTAGCAGGCGAAGCTCCTGCGTCAGCAGCCGCGGAGGGGGACTCGAGTTTGCGGTACATGCGGAACGGGTCGCGCACGTCGTCCGTGAGGGCGAGCCGAACCGCGAAAACGACCACCGGCGCCGCCATGCACGCCGCCATGAGCGTGCGCGCTTGCTTCGGTGTAAGCCGCGCAGCGGACATAGCGAGCGGATGCAGAGAGATATCAGCTCCGTAGGTTATGATTCCGCGAGAACTCGGTAACGAAATTGGGCGTCGAAACGAAACTTTCAGACTCAAAGCAGTGACAACGATGCTGGTAGGGGCGGGAACAGGCTTCCCGGCACCGGGGACAAACAAGTGATAGTAGCCCTGTTTCGTCGTATCAATGGAGAGTCCAGAAGGTGGTGGATGGATCTGGATGAACCGAACAGACGAGTCGGCGCTAGTGAGACAATGTGGCCTGAGGGAAAAGCACCCTAAGGAAAAGCGCCCCGAAAGAGTGAGTATATTTTAGGACAGGAGAAGCAACATGCGCTAGCGCGATGCAATACAAAGTTAGAACATTCTGCACCAGGCTGAACCTACCAAGGTTAAGGGTACATTCCTGCGGGGACACTTGTGTCTCAATCACTTTGTGACATCTAAAAACAGCATATACCGTGCCCTGTCACAAAAGCGGATCGCGCTTATGCGAGTCCCACTGTATTTTACATTGGTTGGCGTGAATTGCGCTTGTGTCGCGGACGAGTTACACGAGGCCCCGTCACATCCCGAAAATCGCACGCGTGTCGAAATCTCACACTGTACAGCATGCACCTGGACGCCCGAACTGGGCACGTTTCCGCGCGGGGATGGAAACCGCTCTGCCCGGGCTGACATATGACTGGTCCTTCAGCACACACAGTCACATCCCTGCCCGAATGTTTGCCCATCGTTCCAACCACACTGACAGCACTCTCCCGCTCCAATCTGTTCTTCTTCTCCCAACCCGAGCTTCCTCTTTCTTGTTGCGAAGTCTAGCCAGGGTCTTCTTTGGCACGCTGTAGCCATGGCCCGTAAGCGCAAGAGCGTAGCTAGTTCTGTTGACTTGTGCCCGCGGGATCTCGACGAGATCCCGTACATCGCTTGGATGAACAAACAAATCGCGGCCGGCCGCAAGCCCGCCGGCCCTTTGCCCGAAGGAGCGCCTGGTGCGGGGGACACCTCGTTCGAAGCCCCGCGCGATGTCCCTACCCGCGGACGCCGTCATGCCGACCGGGTTGCCTCATCCCGCGTCAACGACGATGCTGCCTTCGATGACGATGATGACGCCGCGGACTCTGATTACAACGAGTGCGACGAGGCCTGCGAAGACGACGCGGACTCTGGCGAGGAGCAGGACAAGGGCATGTCCCCCTCCGAGGATGAAGTTGACGCCGACGAGGACGCCGATGACGACGAGGACGCTCCCGAAGAGGCCCAGCCTGCGTCCCCGGCTCCTCGTCGCGGCCGTGCGTCTGCCGCTGCGGGAACCAAGACTGCTGCTAAGGGCGGGGAACCTCCGCGTGCCGCTGCCAAGACCCGTAACTTGCATCCTGTTAAGCGGAGCGTGTGGTCCCCCCGCGAGAACACAATCTTCGTGGCTGCGCGTTGGTTCATGAAGGACGAGCTCGGGCCCCTCCTCGGGAAGCAGGGCTCTCAGTACTGGGCTCGCCTCGCGCGTCACCTCGAGAAGGAGAATCCCGGTTGGGTGTGCGGTGTAAACGCGCTTCAGAAGCAGTGGCGCAATCTTGTGAACATGTACAAGCAGATCAAGAAGGGGGAAAAGGCGAGCGGCAAGGGTGCCGTGTGCAAGCCCCACTGGTACCCGTACATGGCGCTTTTCCAGAACAACAAGGCGGTGGGCAACCCTCACGCCGTCGACGGTGGCGGTGCAGCACACGTCAACGTGCCGTGCGGGTACGCGGTCCCGTCCACTTCGGCGCCCTGCACCTCTACGCCGACATTCACTGGTATGTATGTGTTGCATCAACGGTGGCACTCGCGGGTTTGTTGAATGACACATTTTGTGACAACATTTTACGCACACATTACATCATTAAAATGTTTAGGGTACATAACACCTCGTCTACTGTTCGTGTGCATCCACCGTGTGTGCAGCTCCGCCGCCACAGGGAACTCCTACATCGAAGCGCCCACGTGTGGCAGAGACGGCGACGATGGCCGCTGCAAAGCTGGTGTGCGAGACGATCAAAGGCTGCCACTAAGACGCCATGAGCAGGCTCGAAGGCCTCGTCCGCGCGTGGATGGATCAGGACGCGCGTATTGCTCGGGAACGCGTGCAGCAGCCCGCACCCTCCCCGCATGTCCGCGACGACATCCCTGCCCACGCGGACAACATGACCGACTCGCACGCCGCCGAAGGCGGCGACGACGGCTGGCTTCGTCGCGGGCAGGCGGGCGAAGACCCCTCTAACCCAGATGCGGGTGAGGAGGTGTGGGTCCGCGGCGCCGCCGAGTGAGGTAAGACGACTCCAGAGCCTCGCCCAGCCGCTTGCGCCTTTCACGAAGATTCTCTTGCGTGCATGGGTCACATGGCTCCCACATGAACTCTGCTACCGCGCCACGAGTCCACCATGGGTCCCGGTTTCGGGGCAAGTTTGCCCACGATGCATTGACGCGCCTTACTGCGCCCATCATTTCGCACATGTTGTGCAGGATGACGCCACAAGACGCCCCTGCAAGAATGCGCCAGAGCTTGCAGTCATTGCGGCCCGCGAATAGACGCCACCGGCCTTTGAAGGCGCCGATGCAGCGCTCTACTGCCATGCGCGTTGCGCTTTGGCAATAGTTAAAGCACTGCTCCCAGTCCTCCATTAGGCCTTCACGGGGAGCATGTAGGGGGGTCAGGCAGAAGTCTCTGAGTGGGTAGGCAGCATCTCCCACTATTTGGTATGGCGCTATGTCGCCGTTGTACAACCTTTCGTGTAACGCGCTGTTCATGAACACTCTCTGATCGTGCGCACTGCCCGGGTATCCGATCAAATAGTCCCATATGATGCCTCGCGCGTCGCATGTGATCTGCAACTGGACGGCGTAACAGGACTTCCGCGTGTAGTACTCTTGCCTGTGCCCCTCCATCCCCTTCATGGGTATGTGTGTGCCGTCTATAGCCCCCACTACCGCAGGTACCCCCTTGATGGCGCGGAACTCTGCGGCCATCTCGTCGAGGTCGTCGCGGGTCGGGAAGTGGACCCACTGCTGCTTGAAGACGGACGGGAAATGCATGAGGAGCGCGTCAACAAGCATGTGGCACAGGGTCATGCTGTCAGAATGTTATCTTATGCTCTAGCCTGTAGTGGGGTGCTCTATAGCGAGTACAACCCTTCTAGGGTTTCCTATTTGTATCCCCATTCTTGCTAGTGCAATCCTCTTCTTCTCTCTTCTCTCTTTTAAACTTTAACATGGTATCAGAGCAGGTCGATCCCCTTGGATCGATCCTGTGGGTGGGCTCACCACCTTGTTGCTTCCGCTGCAACTGCTACTGCTACTCTCTGTGCCGCACGCTTCGTGGCGTGCGGCAGTTTTTCTTCCCGCCGTGCGCCCCGAGGCGCGCGGCGGTTTTCTGCCCGCCGTGCGCCCCGCAAGCGGCCCCCCCCAGGGTCGCCTCGACAGGCGACGGGAGGGGAGTCTACCGGGGGCCGCGCGTTGCCCCCCCCCCCCTACCTCCCTACCCTGTTTTTAGGGTTTGGGGGGTAGTGGTTGGGGGGTGGCGGTTGGGGGGTGGCGGTTGGGGGGTGGCAGGTGTGTGGCGTCGCCTGCTCCTCCTCCTCCTCCGTCTCCCTGTGCTGCAGCTGCCGCTGAGGGGGGGTGGACGTGTTGGAGCCGGTGGAGTGGTACTAAGGGGGGGTGAAGGGGGAGTGGAGCTAGCGGTGTAGCAGCGGGTGTGTGCCAGGGGGGAGTGGGATAGTTTGGGGAAGCTGAATGGAGGTTGCCGTCGTGTCGCCAGCAGCACCTGTATTCCGGGGACTTCGTCCGGTAGCCCAGTCGTAGCCAGCTGTGCCAGCCGCCCGTGGGTCCGTTGCTCGTCTGCCGCTACTTTAGCCGCGGGGCCTGTTACTCCTGTATTCCGGGGACTTCGTCCGGTAGCCGCTGTGCCAGTCTGCCTCCTGTTGCCCGTGTGTCTGCAGCTTCAGCCGTCGCCCCCTATCTCCTCTCCTCTCACTCTCTCTCCTCCTCCTCACTTGCCCGTTGTGACTACCACTAGCTTTGCTCATAATTGTGAACTTAAACTATTGCTTCTTGAACTTGTGCTCAGAATGTGTGGTGACATTGTGATCCACCCTGAGCTTGTACTCCTTTGCTTCCTCTGCTGATTACACCCCACTTTGGCTATGGGGGTGTGTCAGAATGTTATCTTATGCTCTAGCCTGTAGTGGGGTGCTCTATAGCGAGTACAACCCTTCTAGGGTTTCCTATTTGTATCCCCATTCTTGCTAGTGCAATCCTCTTCTTCTCTCTTCTCTCTTTTAAACTTTAACACATGCCGTCCAGGTCCTCTAGCAGCAACTGGTATCTCCGCCGGCGTAGCCCAGCCCTTCGTTTCCGCTCTGCGGTACGGTTGGAGGCGCGAGAGCTGGATGACGAGGACACCTCGTCATTGAAGACGTTCGCCTCCAGCAAGCCACCGACCGACTTGGCGATGGCGTCCATGAATATGCTGTAGTAGAACGTAACCCATGCGACAAGTAGGCGCATGAGGAATGGCACCTCGCGGGGCGATGCCATGGTTGCTAGACAGTGGTGCAGTTTAGCTCTGTGATGCTTGCGTTTTTGTACTTGGAGCCGTGGTTGTATACATGCTGTTGTGTGTGGGGTGGCCCAAATTGCAACTTTCATTTCTGTGGCAAGCCCACCGCGATACTCGAGGTGGTGCGAAATGTTTAGCCCCCCTGCCCGGCGGGAAAACTGGGTGGGCACAATCCTATTGGTCGCAACCAATAGTACGCACCCACCTGGCTGTGCCCATCTGTCGCGCAGGTTCGCGATACATTGGTTGTTTGTGACACAACATTTGGCAAATTTACAGGCGCGACTCGGGAAAACGGGGATTGAGACACAAGTGTCCCCACAGGAATGTACCCTAATTGTAAAAAACAATATACCCCGCCCCTAGTTTCCTTCCTACACTAGACGTGCAAGCATATGGTATCAGCACCAGACACAATTGCCGTTTTTTTGGGTGTTGACATAGCTTATATTTGATAGGCAAATGATGAAACACCATGTATCTGAACCCTAGTTGGGGGACTTGAGATGTAGGTACTACAAAATAAAACCCCAACATCCATCAATCAACATCCATCTGCCTTTCTATTCCTAGCCATACACTGTACACTCGTGCCTCCTCTTTCAACTCGCTCTACAGTCTGAGCTCCCTCTCCCTCGCCACCTCCGCCATCCCCTCCTCCGATCATCCCCTTCTTCCTCCTCGTCCTCCTCCTCTCCCTCAAACTCCTCGTCCTCCTCGCTCTCATCCTCGCTATAATCCTCCTCCAGAAAGGGGAACAAGTCGCGAATGCCTGCTCTTTCACCAAGTCTTGCAATCAGTGTTTCTCTCAAGCTCACACTTGATGAACCCTCGTCAGCATCTGAAGTTTGCATGTTGCGACCACCACCATTCCTAGTACTAATACCACCATCATTTCCATCCCCATCCCCATCATCACCACCACCAACTCTGTTACTCGCAACCCTCCTCCTACTCCTCGCACCCTCTCCTTCCCTCCCCTCATCCACCGCTTCCCCCTCCCTCCCCCGCCTCCCCCCTTCCCTCCCTACTTCCCTCCCCCCTCCCTCTCCTCCCCCCCTCCTCTCCCCCCGCCTCCCCACAGCAGCAGCAAGCGCCAGCAAGCTTCCAAAAGTTGCCACCCGGTCTCGCCCCATCAGCTGGGCGTGCTGGCGCTGCAGGCGCAGCCTTGGGATCTCCACATCGGCGGCCATTCTGGGCACGCCAAAGGGCTGCTCGCGCCGCCGCTTGTTTGCCTCCATGATGCTCTGTGCGTTGGATGGCAGGCCCTTGGGGGATGTTGCTGTAGGAGCCCAGATCTTGACCGTTGATTCGATGCCGCTGGTGGCGAGGATGGTGGCTGATGGGTGGGGCTCTAGACAGTTGACCACCTGAGATCAAGACGGTTAGGGAGAGGGGGAGATAAGAGTGGGGGAGGAGGGAGGAACGGATGACTGGACAGAGCGAGAAACGGAGGAGAGGAAGGAAGGAGTTGAAGTCTTTGTGGGTGGCTGGGTGCTGCTTTTGAGAAGTCTCAAAAGCAACACCAACATAGGAGTTGCCAAGTCTTTGTGGATGGTTGGGTTGAACTCCATCCTTTCTTTCCTCCATTTGTGCGGGGCTGGGTTCTAGGGACTGGATTCTCTGGTGCACCCACAGCCGAATGAGGGATGATGCGGAGAGGAGCGGATGTGGTGAAGGAGGAGGAGGAATGAAGAGGAGGGTAGAGAGAGAGGGAAAGGGGATGGGCAGGTTGGGAAGGGGGATGGGTTAAGGGAGGACAGTTCTGAGGTGAGGAGAGCGTTGAACCAACATAGGGGAACGGTAGTGCATGGCTGGGTGGCTTGCGCAGAGAATGGGGCATCAGCTCACAGGTGCCCTCACTTTCTCACAAGCACATCCACCGCACCCCCCATCCACGCACATGCCCCCCCATGCACTCACATGCACGTCGCCAGGCATCATGGCTACGAGCTGTCCGCCGACCTTCCTCCACAGAAACACATGTCCGCAGTCCGACCCACTTGCCACGTACTCGCAGCGCGGCCCAAAGAACGACACGCCCTTCACTGTCTTCTCGTTGCGGTGCCCTGAGTACACCTCTATCCTGTCCCCATATGCACCCGCTGCTTCCTCTTCCTCTTCCTCTTCCTCCTGCTCCTCCCCTTCCCCCTCCCCTTCCTCCTCATCGTTTTCTGCCATGTGTGCTACCCCTTGCCCTTCCGTGCCCACCTGCCCGTACCCTATCTTTCCTTGAGCCTCCTGCATCTTCTCGCCCCACCTCCCCCCCTCGTCCCTCTCACCCTTGTCCCTCTCTCTCTCATCGCTCTCCTCCATCTCCTCACCTCCTTCCTTCCTGTCACCCCCTCTACCACCCCTATCATCCCCTGTAGTGTCACACTCTCGTCTCCTCTTATCAGCCATCTCTCTTGCTCCTCTGTTCCCCTCTTCTCCCCTGCCACACACTATTGCCTCCTCCCTTCCGTTCCTTGCAGCACCTTCAGAAGCAATAGCGCTAGTAGCAGCAGCAGGGGACGCACCAGAATCACCACCAGCAGCAGTAGCATCAGGAAGAGGTGCAGCAGCAGTGTCAGGCGTTGCCCCTGAGGCAGTATGAAACGTACGTTGCAGCCAGGAAAGACGGCGAGGAGGAGGAGGTTGAGTTTCGCTCGAACCACCACCAGGCATAGCAGGAGAAGAAGAAGCAGCCACAGCACCACCACTGCCGCTGCCACCTTCCTCCCCATCGCCCAACCTCCCATCCCCACTAATACTTCGCCCTCTGCTGCCCCTGCCTCCAACACTCCAATCCCCCCCAAGGCTGCTCACAAACCGCCTCCTGCTGCTGCCCCTGCCATCCCCACCACCATTGCCGCTGCTTCGGTTGCGGCCACTGCTGCTGGTGGCTGTACTTAAAGCCCGGAAGCCAGTGGTACGAGTGGCGGTGGGCATGGAGAGGGGGTCAGGGCCGAGGGAGTGGTGTGGGTGGAAGAGGTAGATGAGCTCGTCGTTGTATGATGAGAGGAGCTCGTCATGTGGGGAGTAGGCCACTCATGTTATGTGCACCTGTGGATTGGATGGGACGGCAACGGGTGAGGTGGGGTGGGGAGGACGGATGAGGTGAGGAGAGGAGAGGGGTTAAGCAAGTGGGAGAGAGGAGAGGAAGAGAGAAGTGAATGGAAGGAAAGAGAAGAGGAGAGGAGCGGAGGGAATAGAAGACATGAAAGGAGAACGGAGGGGAAGGGAGAAAGGGAGGAGAAGGGAAGCGCACTTGCTGCACACAAGCACACACAGCGAGTGCACCGGGTCACAACCGTGCATAGGAGGCTTACAGGAGGGCGCAAGCGATCGCGGTTGGTGTTGATGAGGTGCGGGGGTGCGAAGGTCTCCACGGGCGAGGGGCAGGAGCAGGCGGCAGAGGTGGGAGCGGCACGGCAGGCCATGCACCTAAGATGGGGAGAGATATGAACGGGGAGAGGTATGAATGGGGAGAGGTATGAATGGGGAGAGGTATGAATGGGGAGAGGTATGAATGGGGAGAGGTATGAATGGGGAGAGGTATGAACGGGGAGAGGTATGAACGGGGAGAGGTATGAACGGGGAGAGGTATGAACGGGGAGAGGTATGAATGGGGAGAGGTATGAATGGGGAGAGGTATGAAGACGGGTGGGGGTAGATGTGCGTGTGTGTGTGTGAGAGGGTGTGCGCGCATGCATGCGTTTCAAGCTGTGGAGGTGTGCAGGTGTGCAGGTGTGCAGGTGTGCATGTGTGCAGGTGTGCAGGTGTGCATGTGTGCATGTGTGCATGTGTGCAGGTGTGCAGGTGTGCAGGTGTGCAGGTGTGCAGGTGTGCATGTGTGCAGGTGTGCAGGTGTGCAGGTGTAAACCGCCGCCAGCACAAGCATACGCCCACCAAGTAACCGAGTCACCAGCACGCTACTCACTACTCCCAAATAATTGCACCCACACCCAACCACTTGCAACCGCACCCACCTCCTCAAGTCGTAGACACGGGCAAATTCGTCCGCCCCGCCCACAGCAAAGAGGTGCGGGCGGGCGGGGTTGTGTGCAACAGCGTTGAGCGGCAGGGGCTGCCGTGCTCGCATGGCAAGTGTGGTGGTCACTGTGAGGACGCGCGTGCTGGGCTTTGGGGCTCGTAGGTCGAACTGCCGTGAGGTGGGGGTAAGGGAGGGAGAAAGGAAGGAGATGATGAGATGAGATGGTTGATTGTGACCCAGACGCTTGGCCGTATCATATCATATCGTATCATATCAGGTTTTGCTGCACGGCACCCATCATCACACCACCCCTCACACACACGCCATCCCACATCAACCCTACATGCCACATGAATCACCCTCCCCTGCCACACACTGCGAACTCTCTCCCCCCTTCTTTCCACGTCCCCCCCCTTCCAATTCCCCTGTCCCCCCACGCACATGCCGCACCACCCCATCCTCCCCACAGCTGAGGAAGCAGAGCGGCGAGTGCGGCAACACGGCCAGCTTGTGTGCTCGTCCCCTGTGCCTCGCCAGGCGCACCGTACCCACCGCTGCACTCTCCGACAACAGACTCACCCGCACCTGGTGGGGGTGGTGTGCGGTGGTTGCGGGGGGGAAGGGAAAAGAAAGGTAAGAGAAGGGTTTGGGGGGAATGAGGTTGGTGTTTGAGTTTCCGTTGAGTTTCCGCACCCTCCTACAGTAGACCCACCTGCACCTGAGGGGTGGGGGTGCGGGTGGTGGTGGGGAGGGGGGGATGGGGAAGGGGTGAGGGGGGAAGGGGGAAGGGGTTTTGGAGAGGATTATAGATTGCTGCCCTCTTCTACGGAATAATCACCAAGCAGCCCTCCCAACCTACCACCACCACCCCTCACCCTACCAGCCAACCCCATGAACCAGCCCCCTCCCCCCAAAACTAACCTGGCCATCAGCAGCGCAGGTGACGATGGTCCTGTCGTTCCCGCACGGCAGGGCGCCTGGAACACGTTCTTGCCATGGCCCGACCGCCACTTGAGCACCTCCCTGCCCACCCTACCACACCTCCCCACCTACCTCCCCACCTACCTCCCCACCTACCTCCCCACCTACCTCCCCACCTACCTCCCCACCTACCTCCCCACCTACCTCCCCACCTACCTCCCCACCTACCTCCCCACCTACCTCCCCACCTACCTCCCCACCTACCTCCCCACCTACCTCCCCACCTACCTCCCCCCCTACCTCCCCCCTACCTCCCCACCTACCTCCCCACCTACCTCCCCACCTACCTCCCCACCTACCTCCCCACCTACCTCCCCACCTACCTCCCCCCTACCTCCCACCGAAATCGCCCCCAACCTCCCCCTGACCTACCTACCCCCGACCTACTCATCCCTCCCCTCCCCTCAACACCCCCAAAACTAACCTGGCCATCAGCAGCGCACGTGACGATGGTCCGGTCATTCCCACACGGCAGGGCGCGCGCCTGGAACACATTATTGCCATGGCCCGAGCGCCACTTGAGCACCTCCCTGGCTGCGGCCCAGTCCCAGAGCACAATGCGCTGGTCGTCCGAGCCCGAGAGGAGATGGGACCCGGATGGCGTGAAGGCGACGGTGTTCACACAGCCTCGGTGCGAAGCGAGGACTGAGGCCAGGGCGAGACGGGACACCAGGGCCTGGGAGGGGTGTGGCGGGGGTGGGGAACGGCGGGGGGGGGGGAGAGGAGGGAGGGGGAAGGTGGAAAGGGGAGGAAAAAGGGGATGGAACGTTGAAAAGGATAAGGGGAAGGGAAAGTGGGGAGCACGAGGGGTGAGGATGCGGGTGAAGGCGACGGTGTTGACACAGCTTCGGTGTGAGACGAGGACGGAGGCGAGGGCGAGACGAGACATCAGCGCCTGGTGGTTGTGGGGCGAGGAAGGGGAAGGTGAGGGGAGGAGGGAGGAGTAAAGGGTAAGGAGAAGAAGGAAGCGGCAAGGGGGAAGGAGAGATTGGGAAGGGGGAAGGGGGAGGCGGGAAGGGGAAAAGAAGGCAGGAAACAAGAACAGAACGGGGAGAACAGGGAGAAGGAGAGGCAGCTGAGAAAGGGAGCTGGGCAAAAGGGAGCGATGGGAGTTGGGGAAGGACAGGGTGACGGTGATGGGTAGAGGGAGCATCGTGAAGTGACCTCCTTTGACGGAATCCGTCAATTCTGACCGCGAGCTCAAGAGCATGCGACGCGAGGGCTGACGAGCACAGGGCGTAAGAGCGCCAAGCAAGTGCGACACTCACGTCCGAGCCGCCTGCAGCGCGAGCGAATGAGAGCGGCGTGCGGCGACCGCTCTCGCGCTGCCACGTGTCACGTAACCCGTAAGAGCATAGCGGCACAGGGCCCGCCCTGCGCCCTCCCCCCCAACGCCTCGACGCGCCACCAGTTAATCTCCAAGTAGCTCCCACTGCCTTGCTCCCTCCGAGCCGCGAATCGAATTTCCTTTCCAGAGTCATGAAAAAAAAACAATAATTCTCTTCCGTGCTTTAATCACACGGGAAAGGTGTGTTCGGGATTGTCTCGAGGCGCCACCAGCATGGGTTTCCCATCAAAACTGCCCTGCCCTCAAACTCGTGCGACTTGTTCTTGTTCTTCTGAATTCCAACAGCCAGGTGGAGGAATTGAGGGAGGTCCGCTCTGTACCCAAGCAAGCGCAAGTCACAGTTGCAAATCAGCGGTTCACAGGGATTAACGATCGAACACTTCTAGATAGCACAATATACTACTCAAACGTTAAAACCAGGGTGCACATTCAATTGGATTTCTGTCAAAGGTTAAAGCTCAAGGCCCAAATTGTTCAACTTTAGTAAGGTTGACCGTTGGGCTGCTGGGAAGGTTCTCACAGAAGTTGACAGGGGGTGTTGTGAGCGACGGCTGTTACCCTTTCGCACAACACCTCGCTACACTTATCAAGGGGGGAGAACTTCGAGTTTGGTTGCTCAAGTCCCAAGTTGCAACCGAGCAAGTTTCCGAACCCCCTCCATCAATAATACTAATCTTGCCCCTCGCGGTCTGCAATTTGGGCCTTGAGCTTTAACCTTTGACCTCGGGGTTACTCAGTGATTTAGGAATATCTGGGGGGAGTGTTCGCTTCAACAGGTGAACATTTGAACCCTCGAGATTTGGCAAATGTATACCGAAGTCATCGAATGTGCTTCCGCCAATTCGTTTCCCCCCTCCCCATACCTATTCCGCTCCCACCGAAATTGTTTCCCCTTCCCCCACAATATCGTCTCACCCCCTTTCCCCTTTCCGCCAACCCAGTTGCCCTCCCCTTGATCCCCAATTTCTAGATCCAAGTGTTATCAATTTCTCCCCTGCCAAGCCTCATCTCTCACGGACGAAAAGCCCCATGCTCGCCCATTCTCAACTATTTATTCGCTACTCGTCAACCAATCAGCAGTTCCCGCAAACATGCCGCCCAAAATTTAGCCTGGAGTCGCGTTGAATGTGTACCCTGGTTCCTGGAAGAGCTTGGGATGGAATGGAACGACACACACCACTCTCGTTTCACATTTTGTTCGTTTCCTACACCACCTCAAAAACTAATTTCTCACTTATGGAAGGACACGCTTGGGGATTTTCCCACAATAATGTTTTGGAAACACTACGTAGGGAATAATGGTGGGGGATATACTCAAGCACCTGCCTTGCTATTCTTTGTGTTGTCCATGCAGTATATTTTTAGGCAACTCTGGCTGAACAATCCAGTGATACCGTACTAGGACCAGTTCTTTCACTCAATCGTGACATTATAGCTTCAAGGGAAAAGATTATCAGACTAGTTGAAACAAAATGTCTTCACAGCCTAACAAGGGTAGTTAGAAAAGAATTTTATCGCAACATTCCCCATGTTGAAGTTAGAACTCCTAAGAGGCTGCTCCATCGTGGTTATTGCGATGAAGCAGCAGCAGGGTGGAGTCGTAGTGAGGATTGAACCACCCCACCCCTGTAGCCTACTTTCATAGTTCCTGCAGTGGTGCAAGAAATAGGCATCAGAGATTAAAGCTCGCGTCTCATATTTACTAGTGTTTAACACTTGGTTGGGAAAGTAAGATCCTGATTGGTTTACGAGTGACGAGTTTTTTGACGAGCGGGGGAAATACATGCGCGAAGTTCCACAGTGTTGAGGCCAACACAAGAGCTCAGGCGCAGGTTTGGGTCACATCCGAACCTCTTGCGTGACAGGTTTGGGAAGTTGCACTTTGTGCGACCAACACTGACGACGGGAACACAGATTGTGCAAGGGAGTGAAGTGATAGGGAAAAATCAAGCGCCAAGGTTAGCACTCCAGCCCTACCTCCTTACACGTAGTAGAAGCATTACCACTCCATTAGTAACCTAGCTCCTATCCAAAGGCGTCAAAAGGACAAAGAATGTCACGTAACAGGGGTGAGCAGCAGTAGCGCTCCCCTTTGCCTATGCTTATGATTAGGTAATAGCCGTCATCTTCCCACCACCCGACCTCCGCTTCCCCGCCACCCCATCTCCCCTGCTCGCCGACCGATCTCCCGTGCAACCCGCCCGAGTTCCCGTTCCCGCGGCCCGATCTCCCATTTCTGCCGCCCAATATCCCCTTCTCGCCTCCTCTCGCCTCCCCGCGCGTGCTCCTCTCGCCTCTCAGCGCGTGCTCCTCTCCCCTCCCAGCGCGTGCTCCTCTCCCCTCCGCGTGCGTGCTCCTCTCCCCTCCGCGTGCGTGCTCCTCTCCCCTCCGCGTGCGTGCTCCTCTCGCCTCCCCGCGCGTGCTCCTCTCCCCTCCCCGTGCGTGCTCCTCTCGTCTCTCCGCGCGTGCTCCTCTCCCCTCCCCGCGCGTGCTCCTCTCCCCTCCGCGTGCGTGCTCCTCTCCCCTCCGCGTGCGTGCTCCTCTCCCCTCCGCGTGCGTGCTCCTCTCGCCTCCCCGCGCGTGCTCCTCTCCCCTCCCCGTGCGTGCTCCTCTCGCCTCCTCGCGCGGCATCCCCCCTGCACGCCCTCATTTCCCCCCCTGCACGCCCTCATTTCCCCCCCTGCACGCCCTCATTTCCCCCCCTGCACGCCCTCATTTCCCCCCCTGCACGCCCTCATTTCCCCCCCTGCACGCCCTCATTTCCCCCCCTGCACGCCCTCATTTCCCCCCCTGCAGGCTCTCATTACCCCCCTTTTATGCACCCGTTTCCCCTCTGCTCACTCTCTTTCACCCCTCACTCACGCGTTTTCCCCTCTGCTCACTCTCTTTCCCCCACACTCACCCTTTCTCCCCTCTGCCCACTCTGTTTCCCCCGTCACTCACCTTCTTACCGAATTCTCACTTTTCATTCACCCCTTTTTCCAATCCCGCTTCCCCTTTTCCATCTCTCCTTCATGCCTCCCACCACCTCTCCCTGCCTTCCTTGCTTCTCTCCTTATCTCCTTCATGCCTCCCACCATCTCGTTTTCCTTCTCATCTCTTGTGGGCCACATCACAAGGCCCGTCTGCCCTCTCACACTCTTCCTGCCATTCTCACTCTCGCAATCCTCACCGCCGTCCCTTCCTTCCTGTAACCAATCTCCTCTCCCCCCTTTTCCCTTCCTTCCCTCCACTTCCTCCCCTTCCCTTCCTTCTCTCCCCATCATTCCCTCCCCTTCCTCCCCTCCCCTTCATCCCCATCCCTGCCCTTTCCTCCCTGCCCTTCCCTTCTCGACCCCGCCCTTCTACGTCACTCCTCGCCTTCTGCCCTCCAGTTCATGTGCATGTGCTGCCATCACTTTTGCCCCATACATGCATCTTATTAACTCATGTTTACTCGCTTGTATTCCCTTTTCACCCTCCGTCCCTTCAAATCTCCCCTCACTTACTACCCATCTCCCTGCCTTTCCATCACACATCCCTGCCTTCTCATGGATTTGAGGCACCATTGCGACACCAGGTGTCATACAACCTGTAATGCATACGCAAAGCTACAAGCTACAAGCCAGTATAGGAACATGCCAGTATTAGGGACATGCCTCTATCCTTCTGACACTCTCAGTGTCCATACATCTTGGAAGAATATCTTGCACTGCAGAAAGAAAAGTACATATTGTGCCTTTGATATGGATATCTCCTACACTAATACAGTATCATGCTTGCATACAACACACAAGAAAAACAGGTGGTGGTACGGTATAGAGCGTGGACTAGCTTTAGCTGCGCCTCAGCTTGCTCCTCTGCTTCACCACTGAAAATACAGGGAGTGGAGTAGGCAGGAATAATTGTGTGAAGGAACATGGGGGAGGTGGTGTGAGGTGCCAAAGGAACAACTGCAAGGGAACACAAGCAAGCGCACATGATGAAAGCATGTGGGGAGACAGTGATGGGTGCACATGCATGGGAACTACAGTAGTGGGCGGGTGAGGTGTGAAGGGGAAGGGGAGGGCATGAAAAGGAAGGGAAGGGTTGAGAAGGGATGGGGAAGGGAAGCGCAGGGCAGGGAGGGAAAGGCAGGGATGGGGAGGGCAGGGTGGAACAGGGCAGAGGGTGGGGGGAAGGAGGGCTGAGGGGATGAGGGGAAGCAGGAAAGGGGATGGGGGGAAGCAGGAAAGGGGATGGGGGGAAGAAGGAAAGGGGATGGGGGGAAGCAGGAAAGGGGATGGGGGGAAGCAGGGAAGGGGATGGGGGGGAGCAGGGAAGGGGATGGGGGGAAGCAGGGAAGGGGATGGGGGGAAGCAGGGAAGGGGATGGGGGGAAGCAGGGAAGGGGATGGGGGGAAGCAGGGGGGGAACGGAGGAGAAGCAGGGGGGGAAATAGAGAGCAGAGGGGAAATTGATGGAAAAGCAGAGCGGGAATTGATGGGGAGCAGAAGGGGGAATGACGGGATTTATCGCAACCCGTCGTTCGCACCTAATCAGGGCGGCAGGGAGAATGAGTGGAAAGGCAAGGGGGGTGGGGGAAAGGAAAAGGGGTTGGGGAGGAGAGAACGGAGATAGGGAGGATGAACGCCGGCAAGCAGGAGCGCATTTCCTGTCTCCACTCACCTCCCCTCCCATTTCCTCCCCTCCACATCCCACCTACCCCCTCCCCTCCCCCCCCTGCTCCTTCTCCCCGCCTCCACTCCAACCCGCCTCTCCCCCGCTCTCCTCCCGCTCCTTTCTCTCCCTCTTCCGCCGCCTCTCTCCCGCCCTTCCCCTCCTTTCTCCGCTCCTCCGCTCCCTACTTGCTCCTGCTTCGCTCCCTCTCCCACTCCCCCGCTCGGCCCCCATCCCCCCTGCAACCAGTCGACGGCAAGCTGGACGACCGAGTTTTGGGAGATGTTTGGCGGCTTCGCGCCACTGGCTGCACTTGCGCTCGCAATCGCCCCACTCGTCCAGGCGCTGCTGCACTGTGCGCTGCTCTTGTGCTGTGCTGTATTACACGATGTGCTCTTCACCCTGCTACGCCAAGGACCTGCATTCATGCATGACCCCCTGCATGCACGCCCCCTCGTCGCGTCCCCTCGCGTCCCTCCCGTTTCCGCCCCGTACC